TATACTTATGCCATAAAAATTTCTCTTTATATATGATTTTCTATGAACGAGAGATGGCTAGTGACTGATCGAAAAAAAAAAAAATAAAAAAAAACTTTAAAAGATTTGATGACGATAATGAGTTTAAAGATGTACGCATAGTATCATATACAGAGAGATACACAGAAACATAAAGGACGCACTGCTATGCGTCATTATTTTATGTTTATTTGCATAAAATAATTTTTGTTTTGCACAATAAACATATGCATTGAAAATCACCAGTATATTTTCCATGGACAGAGAGAGTCTTTATTAATAACTAAAAAACTTCAAAAAGAAGGATATAAGCGATTTGCATCTTGTGCAATTGATTCTTACTTCAATATGAGGATCAAAAAAGAAGAACAGGGAAATGAAACATGAAACTTGTAAAAGTATCATAAATAGGAAAAGAATTGAATGAAATATCTCATTAACAACGTGTCATGTTTTCTAAAAAAGTTCATTTATTAAAAAAACGAATTACACCTGATAAAATTATAAAATTTAATTACTAGTTATGTATACCAACAGGGGTTATGTGAAAGTAATTTCGATCTAGCCCAAAAGAATAAGTAACACTTCGCGTTTTTTGAGTTCAAATTATGTCGGTTGAACTGTGCTTATTCACGGAAGAATGCAATAAACCTCCAATCTGTGACAAAAAAGAATTCGAGTAAAAAATCACCACCTGACGTGCAGATAAACAAAAAACACACGATATCGCATATGGTAGTTTTTAAATTGTGAGGTGTATTTCGATTTCACGTCAATACAATTTTCATACAAATATTCGGAAGAAAAAGTGCAAGGATCGTCTGCCTTGGAATTGTCATTATGTAAAAAACTTGATCGATAATTACTAATAATGTGTGATGAATAGGCATACGTGCGCATACATGCGCATACATACGTGTTTAGGTACAAAGAATCCCGATTATTTCTTATTAGATCGATAATAATATTAGATTGAAACATTGTTCAATTTCTCTAATCTCGCGTGTTTTTGATCTTTTCTATTTGTTATGTAATATAAAGGACGCCCATTTTTGTGATATAATAGTCTCGGTGTATGTAAATGAATATGGCTAGTGGAAAGAAAAATTTTACTTGATTGGTACTATAAATTTATTTTTAAGGCACTCCCCAAACAGTAAATCTCATTAGAACGTTACAAAATTTAATTTAAATTTGTTTCAACGGAATATGCTCGCTTCTATCTATGGTATATAGCTATTTCCTACATCTTCCCGAACGATACATGTATCATATCGACATGTGTAGTAAATGATGCATGATTAAATGACTGTGATAATGTACCCAGGGGCATGAAATCTCTCATTGATGTTGTTTTTGGCTATGTGGACTATTATTATGATGACGTTAAGAAGCGCGAAAAATGGGTTGGTTTTTAGCCAGCAAAATGACGACGTTTATCTTTTACAAATCGCGGGGTAACGATCACTCGTACATAATAATAATGTATGTACATAATAATCATTATTATTATTATGATGATGATGATTATTATTTATTATTATTTAGCCACGCGATTCAATCATGTTATACAAAAATTTCGCCTTAAAATTGACCAATCAAATTCATCACGATCAGATGGTTCCAATTGCTTCCATACGACACAAAGAAAAAGGAGATCATGGTTTTTTTTGATGGCGAATGATACAACCATAGCGATAAATGCAAAAACGCCTATTTATGCAAAGGAAAAACTTTAAAAGTATCGACGTTAAACGCATGCGCACGCAAATACCAAAAACTTTATTTTCCTCGTGTTTTTTTGCCACCCGAACAAAGAATGTTCGGATACAAATATAGAACTTTCGCGATATGTTTATTCATGCGTAGAATAGTGTCATAGCCAAAGATAGGATGATAACGGCTAGAACAATGAAGAAGATGATAATTTGTCGTGTCGCACATAATCGTAAGAAGATACCCTTTCTTTTTCCTTGCGTCAAAATTAGACTCTGATCTACAAAATAGAGTGAACACACAAATCAAAGAATGTTTGCCACGAGGATATGGGTAAGGAATTGATTGATCGATTAATCCGACATTTACATCAAAAAATTCTTTCATACATAGTAACACTAGTGATGTTGTAATATTTAGTTTTTTATTGCTAGCATTTGGTATCATTTATGTTTTTACCATTACTAAAATTATCGTTATATGCAGATAAATATCATTTGAAAATGCAAGTGTAACTATTGATTGAAAAAATATAAACACGTCGGATTTTCGGCCGTGAAAATTACATAATAATTTTTTCCTCTTGTTTTTCTTTCAGAGATGTATAAAGCGAAAACCATTCATTATTAGCAATATTCAATAAAATAATTCAAAGACATTCATTAATAGGTAGAGAAAAGCATATCCCCATCATCATATCAGAGTTTCACAAGAAATGACACTTTTGATAGTTCAATATCCGCATAATTCGACCTACAAATTTGAAATATTTCCATCAACAAAAATCAATAGTGGCGGGCTTATTTAGTTTTAGTGTCAAATACTTTCATGAAAGAAAATATTAACAATTACAAAATCATTAATATTGTGTATTCTGCGACGTGATCATTTCCGAAATCTGTCGCTTAATGCCGCTTAATTACATCTGTTAATTTATCCGTTCGGATAAAATTTGATAAAAAATTTGAAGAGACACGTTAATTGGTTCGAGTGTTTACAGATCGTCGGTACCAATTAACGTTAACTTGCAACTAATTTACCTGCTTTCGTATCAACCGGTTAAAGATCCATTTCAATTATAAAATTTGAGTTAATTTTGCTATTCTCATTATTTTCTGTGTTAAATCTGGAACGAATCCTCTTAATAATTTGCCCCCTTTTTGACTCTTTCACTCATCTTCTGTGGTAATGATAAATGATATTTGGGAAGCATATGTCATCTAACAATAATATTTTTATTTCAAATAAAATAATTGATCTTTTTTTGCCAAGAAAAAACACAAATATGTATATCGTCGATTTTTGATTAATCAATTAGTTGATTACTAGATATTGACATTTTTCTAATGGAGCAAAAAAGATTGCGATATAACGATAATACAATCATTAGTTTTAAGAAAAGATTGCAATAAAACGATAATACCAATCATTGGTTTTAAGTGGTTTGGTTGATAAATAATTTCAAAGTCCCGTTGTCAAATTTCTAATTTTCAGTAATCATTAATCGGATCCTATATCTTTGATTTTATCGATCTTTAAAAAAACGCCAAATCAATTATCCAATATGCATCACAGGATAGATGGGTTCCTTTATCCACATGGACTTTATTTATGTCTTTATCTGTCTTTATCGTTATGCATGAATATGATGAATGGAATATTTTTTTCTTGTGATTTCTATTATTGATCTAAGGGGAAACCATTTTTGAGGTAGTCTCTCAAAGCTATCCCTGAAAAAACAAATCTTGATTGTTTTTGGTAATTATAAAAAGATGTCAAACTAAAGTCTGACTGACAGACAAGGCAGCCTATACTTGAATGCAATCGATGGACCATTAAACACACATCAGAGATAATCATGCTCTCAAAGAATGCCAAGACAGAATAAATTTTTTTTTGATTTTGTCTTACTTTATACGCACATACAGTTATCGATATACATGCATATACGTACATTACGTTCAATCAAATAATTTGATTTTACCAATCAGATGATACTTTGGCAATTTAATTATTTAGTTTGGCTGGTTGAAATAATGTCGGTATTGAAGGGTGATGTGTCATTATGCACATAATAATTTTTAATTCAACAATGTGACCACGTGATTTTACGAAAAAAAATTCTTTTTTGGTAATAATTCAATTTTTATGCACGATAATTTTTTATTTGGTAATAACAATATTGTTTCCCAAATGAATTCAAATTTTTCTTGGCGTGTAACGGTAAACATGTGTTAATTTTTTTGATTAAAAATAAATCTATCGCTATCATTCACATTTCCACTTTCCGTTTCCTTATCGTTATTCTCTCCCACATAGCAAATCTCGTAATATAGTTAGAGTACAATTAGAATTGGTCCAGTTCAAAACAAATATTGACAATGTTGATATTACTAATTCTAGATTTAGCCCAATTTTTATAATAATAAATCCAATTTTAATCTACTCTAATGACAAAGAAGAAATAAATTTTTTACAAAATGAAATTTATTAGAGATTGCTTAGTCGCACAACGTTAAAATGAAATCAAAGATCCAAACTACAGCGAACTTCTCACTTCAAGCAAGAAATACTTTGCTATGTGCAAGAAAATCTCTCAGACACGTTTGAAGGTGTGGCCATAAGTATTAATATATTAACGGAACCACTGGCAAAAATTAATATTTTTAATAATTCAATCGAATTCTTTTACAATTATTTATTTTAAAAAAAGTCAAATATGATTATGAAAAGTATGTTTTATCGGACAAGACAAACTGACTCTCGTTGAAAATTTTAACGGATATATTTGTGAAATCAATAATTGTTTGAACAAGAAACCGTCACTAAATCTTTTTTTTTTACTTGAATCTTCTGAAATATATCAAATTCTAAAAATGTGTAAACTTTGCTGCTTGCAAAATAATATATTTTTCCCGAGCAAAAAGTTAACTGCCAAAAACGTTTGATCAAAGACTTGTTGCTTGAAAATTTTCAAATATAGTCCATCATAAATGTCTTGGGGTAAGCAATACTCAACGGCATTTTAAGTAAATTTGACTTTCTATATACGAGAAATACAGTTTAGCAACTTGAAAACGTCCAATTTGAAATGAATGTGTATTTGTAGCTAGTAATATTAAATAGAGCTCGTTAAAGTTATCATAAAATTTTGACCAACTTCCTGTGAATTCTTACGTGTGCAAATTCTATTTAAAATATATACATCATTTTACAAATAGATTATCTTACAAGACATTTTATAAAAATAGATATCTCAGAATTCTCTAAAATGAATTTGATAATTTATTGTCGTTAGTTGGGGACATTCCATTCTCTTTCAGGATCATTCCTTGACGGGACAACATGGTTTCCTGACCTTCAAAATATGTCGAAGACACAGCATCTTCATACTCATCATCCATTTCAGAATCAGATCCGGAGCCTTCCTCGAATTCATCATTATCGTCTGGTCCATCCAACTCCAAAGTATCTTCCTCTGTCCAAAGTTTAGCTCTCTCTAAACGCGCCCTCTCCACGACCATTCTCTCATGAATTTCTTTTCTGAAAACTTCTTGGAGACTCTCAGAGATTTGTGAACCTTCTAAATCCGCTTTCACTTCTCTGAGTCTACTCAATTCCTCATCATTCAATTTAACATGTCCAAGTCGGATGAGCATGGCGAGAGTTCTGTATAGCCAGTATCGTTTACATAATGCAATAATATATGGCATTGCCTCAACATCACTCAGTTCGTTAGCATTCGGTGGGAGGTCTACTCTGGGTTCTCTGACTTGCTCAAGCTCAGCATCATCCATTAGGCATTGAGGAATAGGTTTCTCTAGCTCACTATTCAAATAGTCCATATTCTCGAGATCGTCAGATTCTGTTGTACACTTTTCGCAAGTGCAGTTTTCATTGTGACTTGGCGATGCCGATAAATTATCTTTAGGTGAATTTGGGAGCGATAGGGTCAATGACGCTGCGAATGTAGAAGTCAACTCATTTTCGGGCTGCGATAAAGCATCACCTTGTAAAGGTTGAGGTGACTTTAATTTATTTTCATACGTTTCAGTTGATTTGGCCGAAGACGTGACATCATTATCTTCCATTGATAATACACTGGGATTATTATTCAACTCATTGACAAAAGTATCCGGAAATGGTGAAGAAACAAAAGCGTCTTCATAAAAATGCGGGGAGGACGAGGATGATCCATCGTCAAAAGTTGGTGAAAGTGAAGAAACGTCATCTAGATTTAACGAAAGTGAAGAGTCATCATGAATTTGTGAAAACGGCGATCGGAAATTTTGATTTATAGGGGAATTATTTTGACTAGAGTCAGAAAAAGTTTGTACAGTTGAAAGCTCACTTGAACTATCACCGAAAATACTGTCTCTTGGCGATCTATGAAGATGTCCTTGATGATTATTATTAACAGCTTGCATTAAAGTTGGAAGATTCATATCATTTTCGGATGTAGATATTCTTAACGGAGTATTATTAGTTATTGTTGAAATATTTGTAGTTGAGCTATTACTCGTCGTAGAAAATTGGTTCACCGATGATGATGCGTTGTTCAAATAATTGTCGGATACAGATGTTGTCGTAATTGGGAAAAAATTGAGGCGATCTGTGCCACTTTTGATCAATAATGTGTCATTTTGATTAGAGGTTAAATTTCCTGTTTGGCTATTAGCATCATTATCGGCATTTAGAATGTTTACTTTCTTCTTATTGTCGATCATAACTGTAGGTAACAATGTTTCGATATTATTGCCATCATCTACAATAATTGTAGGTGCCATATCATGTGTAATGTTTGAAGAATGGCATTCTTTGTCATTATCATTATTAATGATTCGATTGTTATCGATCGATTCTAAATTATTTTCGCTAGTTGAAGCTTCAATAACAACTCTTGGAGATCCGGTGCTTTTAGGTTCCAAATCTATTCCGTGAACGTCTGATTTTGTATTCGGATCATTCACATTCAAAGTATTACTGAAAGTTTCGGGCAAATCAATGATATCAGAGATTTGTAACTTTCGACCTGCAAATGTTTGTCGAGAACTGAAATCATTGATACTTGGAGATTCGGTGAATATCGCAGGCTCCAAAGTCTTATTATAAGACTTTGGAATGTTATTTTGATTTTCTTGTGAATCAAAAGTATCTTGGGTCGGTTTATTCGTGGATAACACAAGCGCCATAGGATTACTATAAGATTGTGAGGGTTGTAAGCCATTCTCTTGTGAGTTAGTCTCTCGAGTTGGTTGATCTTCTTGAACAGATATTACAGGCAAATTTTGCGAAAATGTATCATTATTTTGTTGTGTTTGAGTAGTAATAATCTTTACTCTATGGGCAAGAGCAGGAGCCTTAGGCTCTGTGTTCGTAATAGGAGGTGGTGGATTGTCAGTTGCGGAACTTCTTGAAACAATTTTGAGAGTGATGGGATTACGAGGCTTTGGCGCAATTTTCTGTTGAGAAGATTGGCTGATATTACTTATTGCAGCAACAACTTGGGGAGCAACAGCCTTGGATTTAGTTCTTCTCTTAATAACATTAACGTTATTAATATTAGACTTTCGATAATCATTTGGCGTTAAATTTGTAAATAAAAGGCCCTCAGAATTCGTATGGTTATTATTCTGGACTCTCGGCCGTTTCGTTGGTTTAGTCTTTTTATTTTGCTTTAATTATCGAAAAAATGCATTGCTTTAACAAACAATTTCCGCATAGAAAAAAACTAGGCATGAAAAACTCACTTCTGCAGAAGACGTTTGCCCTTCTTTTTGTTCCCCAGAATTCTTTTTACGCGGACGTTTATTATTACTATTATTATTATCATTATTAACATTAGTGTTGTTGTTGTTGCTATTATTATTATCGACATTAACATCAACATCAGCATTATTATTATTATTATTATTATTACGGGAAGAAGAGGCAGCAGCAGATGATGCTTTTGCAGGTTTAGCAAGCGCGTGAGTTTGTTGCTGTGGTTTGTCTTGCTTTTCTGTCTCTTCGTCTATTTGATCGAAAAAAGTCTTCTTTTTGATTTTTCGCTTGGGTCGTTCGGCTACTAGCGACGAGAACATGATATGAAACTTTTTGAGGTACTAGTTTAGAATGTAAAGTTGGTTTGCCCGATGTAGGGTAGGATTCTGGTGAGGTGATGCACAGGAAGACGTGTCTTGAAATCTATCCACCGCATGACATTTGTCGTCGCACAATGTAATTTTTCAAAGAATGAGTCATATGTAGTCAAAGTGAAATTGTAATATTTTCTGAATGTTTTTGGTTTTCTTAAGAAATATAAACCAAAATAATGTTTCAGTTAGTCAGGACGTCAGCTTTAACCCGCACTTTACAACATTTCACAAAAACTTCCTTGTCGGGAGCAGCATGTGCAGCTCGTAGTAGTGGTGCTCTTACCTCTTCTTTCTCGACTACCGCTTCTACGCACGAGAGATACACTCTGCCGGACCTACCATACGACTATAATGTAATACAAGTATATGATAGTTAAGATAGGGCGAGAGGAATGAACAGATATATGCTTAATTTCAATTTTTTGTTTCTTTCACTCTGTTTTTGTCGATTTAACGAAAGGCCCTTGAGCCAATCATTTCCGCTGAAATAATGGAAGTTCATCACAAGAAACACCACCAAGCGTATGTTAATGGTTTAATTGTCGCTGAGGAGAAGTATCAACAGGCGTTACATGAAAAAGATGTTGCTACACAGATTGCTTTGCAACCAGCTTTGAAGTTCAACGGTGGAGGTGATAATAATAATATTATTATTATTATCGTTATGATTATATTTTTTTATCTTTTATTTTCTTAAATTCATGTTATATATTCGTCTAGGTCATATTAATCATTCGTTATTTTGGCAGAATCTTGCTCCTACTAAGTTAGGTGGCGGTGAACCACCGAAAGGTGTATATATATATTTCATCTACATGCAAATATATTCTAGATTTAGAAGAACAAGTAATTTGAAGTGCCAAATTACTAGTGATCTTGATAAATTAATTATTTGTTGAATTCAGGCGCTCTTTTGAGTGAAATTAAAAAAGAATTTGGAACACTCGAGGATTTTATCACGAAATTTAATACGACGACTGCAGCTATTCAAGGTATGAAAAATCAACCTAATCATCATTGCATCATGCAATTTTATTCTTTTAATACGTTAATCGATTTTTTAAATGGCATATGTTAAAGGTTCGGGATGGGGATGGCTGGTAAGCTTCCAAAATTCAGAAGCTTCATCTTTAATATATACTAAATACATATAAAAATATTATTAAGGGTTATAATAAAGCAGCTAAACGCATCGAAATTGTCACTCTACCAAATCAAGATCCTCTAACGAGTGAGTTGGTCGAATTTTTTTTTAATTACAAAATTAGCCTTATCCGCTCATTTTTATGTTACCTTCGCCGAGCATTAATTCCAAAATTTAATAACCACATAAAAAAAAAGCATGTATTCCACTTCTCGGCGTCGACGTCTGGGAGCACGTGAGTATTATATGATAAATGCATTAAATTCATTTCATCTTTTTATTTATATTGACAAAACTCTCATTGACAACAAAAACAACAGGCATACTATTTGCAATACAAAAATGCACGACCTGAATACCTGAAAAAAATTTGGGACGTGATAAATTGGAAGGCGGTAGCAGAACGATTCGCTAAAGCTCAACAAGCTCAATAAGGAATTAAAATAATATGTTATTAATAGATAATAGCAACAAAAAGATTAGAAACTTGTTAATAAATCAGCACGAGCATTTCTCTTAACGTTGACTTGTTGAGAGCTTTGTTTTGACCCTAATTATGGAGGTTATATATGTACGTTCCGATAGTACAATTAAACCTCTCTATAGTCACAACTCTTGGTGAAACAAGATTGGGTGACGAGAGATGTGACTATAAAAAGCATAGCCACATTGTGTGAATACAAATGATTATATAATAATTCATTATGATCAACGATAATAATTTTATTAAATAACTACGATAATGATCTTCAAGATTAAAGTTATCGTAGTTATCTCTATATATGAAGTTATGTAATTAAAGATCACATGAATTTCAGCTTCAGCCGCGATATTTATTTTTTTCAGTCGCTTTTTTTTGTTTGTCGAGTGTGTGGTTATCATTTTGGATTGGCATCATGATCACTTTAGCTTTGCCATAAAAATAAAATTAGAAAAGATGTATGAAAATTACCTGCTTGATTCAACGACGATGTCGGCACACCCCGCAAAAAATACAGTCAAAAATTCGAAAATGCGGTGGTGATTGTATAAGGGAATTTTTCAAAAATTGTCACATAAAATCGTTTTTAAGGTGGGAGAATTTAATATGATGCATCTTAAAAATACAAGAGCCGAAGCTTAACCTTTCTTCAAATTAAGCTTCCATCTAAACTTACACAACAAAAATTTATAATCATACACAATTTGAAAAATGATGATTTAGCATGCGAAATCAAATAGATGGAAAAATGTTAAAGATATCTTAATAAAATATCAATACACACATGTAAAAATCGTAATTTGCGAGTATAAGAAGATGGATGATGTGATGAGGTGGGAGTGAATGAATGTTGAATAAGGAATGAAAGAATGATAGTGTAGTTAGTCTTTTTTATAGTTGGCGGTAAATTACAATATATGATGATGATGAGGATGAGGATGATGATGATGATGATGATAATAATAATGATGATGATGATAATAATAATACAGCAGATTGACAATTACTGCAAAAAGGGGAAGAAAAAATGAGAAGAACCAAAGAAATGATGTTTATTTTTTTGGCTACCAAAAAACATCTTTATGCTAATAATAATAATCACTATACTTTATTATCGGCGTCAGCAGAAAACTGATCATGTGAACCACTACTGCCAGCAGCAGTAGCTTCTTCGCCATCATCATCATCATGATTATTATTATTCTTACTGTTATTATTATCATCACTACTACTTATATTATTATTGTTATTATTATTGTTATTGTTATTACTACTGTTATTATCTTTTGAGGCCTTCCCCTTCTTTTGATTAGTCCTTTCTTGAGCCATTTCTACGACATCATCACGACACATCGGGCATCTTCTATTTAGTCGCAGCCATTCATCCACACAATCTTTATGAAAATGATGTGAACACCACAGATGTCGAAGGTCTTCTCCATCCTCGTAATATGACAAACATATCGAACACACTGCATCATCTTCGTTCGGGATTGTGAGATATTGTATAGGCGCGGGTGAACTTGTTGTTGATGTCTTTTTCTTTTTCCCCAACCCAAATTTAAACCTAGATGATTTATGTGGCGATTGTTGTTGTAGTGGTTCATTGGTACCTGTAGTTGACGGTGCTGATATATTAGAATCTGATTCGTTTCTTGTAGTGTCGAGATCATTTATTATTTGGTCATTTGTGTCCGTTGATGAAGGATCACTTTTTGCCATCGATTTGTATTTTACCAAGGGAATTTTGGAAATGACTTCCTCACTTGCTCCACTGATTCCTGCGGCTTCATTGACATGTAATATTCTCATGGCTACCAACACACATGGCAGACAGAATATCACTGCTAGACATAATAATATTGGAATGGTGATGATGATGTAGCCGAGAATAACCCACGTTAGGGATAAATAGAAAATTGCAGGTGCGGTCTCCTGACATTTGTTCGTGGTGAATAATAGATAATTTCCAATGATGAACCAAAGAGTAGCGAACAAATCAAGAAATGATTTTAGACTAAATATTTTTTAAGGAAAAAATAACGATCAATATTACAGTTTCTTCAATACGATCATGACAATGATGATGAGAAAAATGGGAAATCAATAACGTTAAAAGAAAAAGCGAATATATATATATATATATATATATATATATAGATAATAAAATAATTACCGATCAACCCAACCGTCTCTCCTTCGTTCATTTTCAGTTTGATTTAATCCACCACGCACTCTATTTTCTCTGGGATGTAAATATAAATACACATTTACTGGACACGCGAGAATCACCCTCACAATGTACAATTCAAGGAAAAGTTGAAGTGGTTTATCACATGTTTGATTTCGAGACGTCACAAGTACTGCCACCGTAACTACAACCTATAAAATACCATAATTAACAAAAAAAAACCTAATCAAACAACAATAGCACAAATAAAACGTGTTATTTATAAAACGTAAAAAAGCTTACCTGAATTAACACCATAGACAAAGATAATATTAACAAAACCTTGGAAGTTCGTGAAGCCGATCTAAAGTTCGCTACTAAATAACCTATCCAATTCCGTCTCACTCGTCTCGACCCTGCGGCAGAGGCACGCACAGAGGTTGTAGCCAGCGTTGACGTGGGCACATTTGACACATTTGACAAGACAGTAGAAATTACAGCTGAAGTTTGACCTCCTCCGTTGTTACGTGAACTTGACGATGACGAAGCAGCTCGTACATTATCATTACTTGAACTATTTCGTTGTGGATTGCTAGAGTTTGGAGAAGCAGATGAGGGAGCTCTTGTAATTCGGTCATTAATAGTATTGCTCTCCATACTTGTTGTAAACTATATAAAAATCCGACAGCTGGAATGTACTCGTCGGCGATAATAGTGCTTGAATACTCTAGAGAGTGTGCAGTTTAATGTCTGTACCTTGTTTTTTTGTACTTTGATACTATAGTGGTTTCACTCAAATATATTAATTATATTTAAAAATCGTTTGTATTACATCTACATTATTTTAATCTGTATGTTATCTCGGACTGCACCAATAATTACGAATATTAACGAATATGTGTGATGATATCATGAGAAATTAAATGTATTTAGAACAGGGATATGGAATTTTGTGATAAATACAGCTGGAGTATTATCCCCTATTCAAAACAAACTTACGATGCAAAGCATGTTTGATATATTTTAAGTAAATAAATGCAGGATACTGTATCGATATGAATTCAGAAGAAAAAAATTCACTATAATAACTTAATGATATAATTAATAGCTTCAAGAATACAGTGTTATACTTTTCTATAATCACTTCTCTAAAAGCACATGCTTTATATAATAATATTTATAAAATTAGTCAAAAGTGGATATGAAAATTCTTTCTATAATCGCATTTATAATGAAATTCAAAAATTATTAATAATCAAGTATGATTATATTAAAAATTTTATAATGGTAATGATTTTATGAGGTTGATTTCTGTTTTTTGCAAATGATATTATTATTTTTAATTAATATTATCTTCTTGTTTCCTGTTATTCTTTATATTAAGAATATTTAATATTCTATTTGTTTTATATAGAATTATAATTATTAATATTGATAATTTAATAATAATAATTCTTTTATTATGATATAATTTATTATTAATTTAAATGAATTTTGTAATTGAAAATATAAATGAAATAATTTATTATTTATAATACTTCAATATATCCAAGCTTTAAAGACTTGTATTTACTTTTTATTAGCAAAATTCAATAATTAATATATATTATAGCATATTTATATTCTTTCTTATCAAATTATATTAGAATTATATTAAGTTTAATTTTTGAAATATAAATTACTTGTTAAAATTCAGATCAAATAATATTAAATTCAAAATAAAATATTATTTAAATATATTAAATATTATTTTTTATTTTTTTATTTAAATGAATTATATATTTTAAAAAGTAATTTATATAAAAATAAAATAATTTTCATAAAATTTTTTATAATATAATGCTAATTTAATAAATTTTCTTGATTAATAATGAATATTATAATTATTACAATCTAGTAATATTCCATTTATCACAATGTTATAATTTAAAACTATTAAGATTATAACTAGTTATAATCTGATAATGCTTATTTATTATAATAATTAAGAAGTTATTTTTGATATCATAAATTAATTAAAATAATAAAGTAATTAATTCTTAATAAAATTATATTTATTTAAAGTTTTATTTTTTAAATATGATTTTTAATATTCTAAATATTTCTTAAAACTATTTAAAAATTATTATATTATTTAAATTAGAATTAATTCTTAAATAATTTAAATAGTTTTAATTATAAATATAATATAATATTATAATTAATAATAATTATATATTATAAGTTATAAATTATATTATAAATTATAATTTATATTAAAATTTTGATAATTATATAATTTTTTAAAAAATAGATAACTTTTTTATATTATTAAAGAAAAAAAGTTAAATAAAAAGTTAAAGTAAAGTTAAAAAACAAAATTATATATAAAATTATCTTAATATTTTTTATTATGGTCCAGTATAAAAAGATTGATACATCAAATAAATATTAATAAATTATTTTTTTAAAATAAAATTTTAATTCTGTCTTATTTAATTAAATTATTAGGTATTGGAATTTATTTAAATATAAAAATATATTTTTTATAAAAAAAATTTTACTAATATAAACTTTTTTAAATTGTTATTTCTTAAATTTTACTATATAAAATTTGATTAAAATTAATATAAAAATTATATAATAAATAATTTAATTATTAAACTTTGAATCTTAATATTTTTATAACTATTAATTCAATTTTTATGAAATTTAAAATATATATTTATTAAATTTAGAGCAATCTGCTTGTATAATTTAAAGTTTTAATCTTGTAAATTAATAGTGATAATATTTAAAATATCTTTTTTTTTAAAAAAAATAATTTTATTTTAGTTTTTTTAACAAAGTAATACTTCATTTATTATTAAATTAAAATATAATAGAATAGTTAAAATAATATAAAAAGTTAATTTAGATTATTTTTTATTTAATATAAAAAGATTGGTTAAAATTTAAATAATTTTTATTGAAAATAATTATTTAATTTCATTTTAATATATTAATTTGTATCAATTCATAATATAATTAGCTTTTTCATATTAATATATCAATTTTTTTGTACTAGTTCATAATATAATTAGCTCTTTCTATAATTATTATATCTAAAAAAATAAAATTAAATAATAAAAAAATATAATAATAAAGAGATTTTTTAATTATAATTAATAAAAAAAAATTTAAAAAATATAATTATAAAAAATAAAAATTATATATTATATTAATAATATTTAATATCATATTATAATTAAATAATATTTAAAATTATTAAAGTATTAGCTTTTAAATAACTAATTAGTAAACTCTTTATAATATAAAAATCTTATAAATATATATAAAGTTATATACTAAATATCTTTATTTAAATATTAAAAAAAGATTATTTTAATAAAATCTCAAGTTATTAATAATTTCTTAATTTTTTATTTTATATAATAAAAATACTTGAGATTAGTAATCTCAAAAAATATAATTATATTATAATTTAATTAGATAAAAATACTATAATATTAAATATTTAATAATGTAATTTATCAAAATTAATAAAAAATATAATTATAAAAAGATATAATTATAAAAAAATTTAATTATACTTTAAGTTAAATTAAATATTTATTTTTTTATATTTTTATATATTTTTATAAATTATATTAAAAAGTTAAAATAAATTATAATTAAAATTAATATTTATATTAAATAAGAAAATTATTTAAAAAATATAAATTATAAATTATATAAATAAATATTATAATTAATAATTATTAAAGTTTTTATATAGTTAAATTTCTTTATAATTATTATACTTAAAAAAATAAAATTGAATAATTAAAGAAAGATATAATTATAAGAGATTTTTTAATTAAAAAACTTAAAAAAATAATTATAAAAAAATATAATTATAAAAAAATATAATTATAATAAGATTTAACTATATTTATTTTATTATTATAAAAAAATTAAATAAATATTTTTAATTATTAATTATTAATTATTATTATTATTATTATTATTATTATTATTATTATTATTATTATTATTATTATTATTATTATTATTATTAT